TATATACACAGAAGTGATTAATGAAGATGAAGTCACATGACTGCCCAAAATTGTTTTGTAATCTTTTTGGGGGGGGGGTATGGGGATCAAACTCAGGACCTTGCGCTCATAAGGCAGGCGGCAGAACCACTGATCTAAATCCCTGGCCCCTATGTTTTGTAATCTTGGTCAACAGTAGGAATATGCATTTTAAAGACATGCTCCAGATGATTCTAATATTTTACATTCTGAGAAGCATGACTTTAGTCATGGGTAACCAAAAAATACAGTTAAAGCTCAGTAGCTAGAAGAGAAATCTTATTTTACAGAAAGAAACTCTTAATTTGGAAGAGAGGGTGTTTTCTTTAGTTCTTCATGCACTCTTTCTACCATATTCCTGCCAAAGGAGCATCCAGCCCATTTGTGAACTTATTCCTACATACAAAATAAATACATCTGTTTTTCCACATGAAACCATAAACATCAAGACTCTCCATCCAAACCAGGTATGGTAGCACACACCTATAACTCCAGTCTCTGGGAGGCTGAAGCACGAGCATCACAAGTTTGAGCCCAGGGTGGGCAACCTATCAAGACCCTGTCTCACAAGCAACAACACAAAAGTTAAAGGGGTGGGAACTGGGGGACATAATTCAGTGCAGAGGAACTGGGTTCAATTACCAGTACTACAAAAACAAATGCACACACAAAACTCTCTGTCCATTATTCTCTTTCCCTTAGCGAAGCAGCCTAGATGTCTCCAACCATTCTTCACTGACACTTCTACATGTGCTATTCTGACTGGCACAGATAAGCACTGTGTTAAAGGAATGCTGCCACATCACCCAAAACAGGTGTGTTCCTTTACTTAAACATCAAATTAACTCAACTCTTTTGTATAAATGATATTGAATTCTGTTAAACTGCATTTTGTGCCCCATTCTAATCCTTCCAAGTAAGTTCAAAAGAGAATACCATCATACTACTATTACTCATCTTTTATAATAAGTATGCTTCCAAAGGTTTCTTCCATATCCTATTAGGGAGTTATGGAAATACCACCATAATAAAACAGCAAGAGAGAATTAGAAGTTCAAGAATGTTACCAGTAGTCTCAGAAAACAGGAATCAAAGGCCTCATATACTTCAGAAAGAATTTATAAAGATACTGTTCCCCTTTCTCATTAACTGTCCCTTAAAACCAACTCCCTTCCACATAACTTAACATGCAGACAAGAAACTCTCCCAGAAAACTGCAGGTCTGAGCAAACTAGAGTCTGTAGGAAACCAGCTACTTCAACAACTACTCGACACTTAATTTGAACACCTAGGGAAACAAACACCTCTAAAAACTCAAAAACCTACCATCTATTTTAACAGCTGCTCAAATCTTCTAATATAGTAAGTCCCTGACTTATGAACAAGTCACATTCCAGGAGAACTATTTAAGTCAGATTTGTTTGTAGACCGAGAAAGTCTTACACAGTACACCTATGAAAATTAGCCACTCGAATATTCATAAGTCAGGGAGTTAATATAATTGTATTAATATTTTCATTAATAAGAAGTACCTATCGGGCCGGGGATTTAGCTGAGTGGTTTCGCCGCCTGCCTCGCAAGCACAAGGACCCAAGTTCGATCCCCGGTACCAAAAAAAAAAAAAAAGAAGTACCTATCGTTTGTTGTCAAAAGCTACTGTACATTATAAAAAGAAATTAGAAAGTGAGATGACGCTATAAAACCACTGGTTATTTATCAGAGTTGTAGACTCACTGACCACATAATGCCTGGGAAATTTTTTTTACCTCCATGCTTCAATTTTCTTATTTCTCCAACAGAGAGCCTGAGTAATAACACTTAATTCAAATACATTAGTTAAATGATACTTCAAATGACAGCTAAAAATGTTAAGCAATCACCAGTCTAAAATATACGCAAACTAAATGAAGAGTCTCTAAGTGACTACTCAGTTTCTTCACCTTTTGGATGGGGAACAGACAGAGAGGCAGCAAGAGGAGAGTGACCCAAGAGCATAACAAGAGGGAGATATGCCATGTCTGAAGGACAAGACAAATGAGGGAGAAAGGAAGGGTTAAATGGCAAAGTACGATGTACCAAATTCTCTGCTGCTACTGTATAACCTCTTCGTTTGAAAGAAGGACAATAAAAAGTGGTGGAGATATTCTGGTCTCCAGGAAAGTCAAGGTTAGTAAGGAACCTTGCCTCTGGGGAAAAAGACAAAGCTACAATCAAAATGCCATTGTTTTGCAAACAAATTCACCACCATCATCAAGATACTAAGAAATATTTACTGGATAGGAGCAGTATACATTGGAATATATGTATCTGCTGGAAATTAGAAGCCCAAATCTTAATCCCAGAGCTCTGCTGTTAAGACTATGGAATATAATCATGTTATATAAATTTCTGGAGAAGTAAAAATTAAGAAAAGATCAGCTAACACTATCTTACAGATGTATGGCTATGATTTCATAAAATCTCACTCAACGGTGCCAGAGGCAAAATGTAAAGTATGCTCTTTTTTTTTTTTTGGTACCAGGGATCAAGCTCAGGACCTTGCACTTACAAGGCAGGTGCAGTGCCACTGTGGCAAATCCCCATCCCGAAAGTATGCACATTTTAACCAGACATCCTGAAGGTACACTGTATTAGAAATTCTCATATAAGACATGGCTCTGAAATGTGAAAAATTAATAAGGAAAAATGCATCAAATTAATACTAACAAGATCAAATTTCAGAAGGAAAATTCAATCACTGTTATTGTTATTATTTAATATATCACTTAAAAAACACATACAATCATTGTCGAAATAAATGCTACTAACCTGAGTTCAAGGCAACAGACTTTTCTGTGTGGTGCTAGGATTGAACCCTGAGCCTCCTAAATGCTAGCTAAGTACTTTACCAATGAGCTACAACTCCACCCCATCTGTCTTGAATTCTTAAATAAACCTGATAAGAATGACAGATATAAGAAAGGGAAGTGCCATTTTTCCCTACCAGTCGCCCTTCACAAAGTCAATCTGCTCTTTGCTTCTTCAAAAAGAGTGTTTGATATGAAATGATTAGCACCTTAAATCCTCAGTGGGATTTCAGAAAAAAATACATAGGAAAATGATCGCTCTAATTTCTTGGCCTATCTACCACAAATAAAATGTTTGAGAACTATGTTAGATCTTTAATTGTAAGTTAATTCTAAATGTTCCTGACAGTGTTAGGAAACACTGAACTATTTCTATGAATATACCTACTGAACCCATCTCCAAGCAAATATTTGCTCCATTTTTCTTAAAATTCCAGCCATTTTTTTCACATCTCATTTGACTTTAAACAGGCCAACACGTACAGAAGGTGAAAATGACTTCATTCTCAAGCAAAATATTTCCAAGTTAGCTTTTAAATGACAAAGTTTAAAATAACACAATGACTCCATGACCTCACTGAAGAATGTTTATGAAACACTCAGATGCAAAGACTGTATATTATTCCTCAAGATTAAACATAGTAGGCAAAATTAGTTTTTAAAAGCACTTTCTCAAAACACCTTTCTTCAAAACAAAAGCCAAGTGTAGGCCACAGTTAATTTTTAAGTAACTCCCTCACCACCCCCTCCCCAAAACCACATCCAAGGGCAGAGTGTTGATAGGAACGGCTGCTCTTAACTCCTGAGCAGTCAACATTCAACATGAAAGGATAAAGAAACAGAGATAACAAGTCAGAAGAAGTGGTTGTTCTAGATCTCAACTTCCTCACACATATAAAGGGTAACTAATGATGTCTAAGGTCCCATATCACCCCTCAAGACCAGAAAACGAATTCCCCCCCCTTCCCACCAGACCATTCTTTGTCAACCAAAGCTTGAGTCGTATTTTTGTTTTTCCAACCAAATAATTAAATAAAAATAAATAAAAATAAAAGGATACATATTTAGTGTTTGTCCATCTTCTAATCAGACACTATTAATCATTTCTTTTAAAATTAAATTACCTACCTCACTGGGGTGTTGTGAGGATTAATTCATTAGTGTTTGTAAAGCACTTTGAGATCCTCAGGTCAAAGGCGCTATAGAAGTGCAAAGTAGTAGTATTATTACTAGATTCTTTGCTTATTTAAGGAATTTCACAATCCTTTAAAACCTAACTCTGTGTTATGACATTTATTCGAAAAGCCCTGCATTTTATCCACATAATTTTAAATTCTTCTTGAGTATGTTATAGACAGGGTGTGCCAGTGTTTCTAAACAAATGACTTTAAAGGTTAAATTTTGATCTACAGATGGGGAAATAAGAGTCAGGGAAAAACCAGTGGGGCAGTTTTGGTTAGCACAAAATTTTAGTGAGAAATCCTGTCAATCAGACTTAGAAATGTGCCTAAGTCCTAAGAAAAATAAAACAAAACACACTTTAAACATAATGATTCAGCAACCAAATTCCTTTCTTGAAAGAGGAAACAATGCCCAATCCACTCACTTTAAAAGCTAGCAGTAGTGTACTTACACATTATGTTTACGTGCACGTACATGCAACTGTCATTCACACTTTAATTTTTAAATCACTGCAACAGTACTAATGTAAAATGACATCAAAATGAGCTAGTTGCTTTTCCTTTAAACTAGCTTCCCATCCTCCCTCACATAAAGCAAGCTAAGCACTGAGAAGAGGTCAAAGCAACTTTGCTTTATAGAGTTTTAAGAGAAAACGTATCACCAAGGACCAAGGATTCAAAATTGGTTTAAATCTTTTGGACTGTTTCATCATTTCCCACCCTCTTCTCTAACTACATCTTTTTACATTCAAGTGTGCTTTAAATTGAAAACTACACACGCACTATGTACACATACACAAAGCTAAGGAACCAGAGACATCTATGTGTTGAATATTCTCAATAAACAGACTTCTTTTCAAAACTTCCAACACCCTCTTATAAGCTTCTCCAGGGCAACTCAAGCTCCAGTCTCAAGAGTAAACTGAAAACGAGATATTAAATCTTAAACACTTACCTCCTGCTCCTGTTGAAAGATGACAACTCTACCACCTTTATCTCCTGTTGCTAGTAATTCTCCAGAATGATTAAATTCTACTGTAGAAATTATATCTGCTGTATAAATAAAACAAAACAGACATTAGTTTTTGTTTGCCAATTCACTAGTTTGAGAATCCACATCTTTCCTAGTGTACTCCAAGCCTCTATCAGCCTGCCATCAAAAACAGTGAATTTCAAGTTCTTTCGTGTATATCTGCTTCACCAAAACTGTTTCCACAGAATAAACCAACATGAAATATTTTAATAAAAACAATAAATACCAGCAGCTTGTTAATATTTTACTAAATTCAGAAACGCAAAGAAAACTTTTGAAACATTCTGATAGTTTGTTTCTGAAGCAGTTCTAATAGTACCATTAAACGACTGTATTGTTAATTTTCGTATACAGGTTTTTAAAGAAAATTTATTTATTTATATTTTGAGACAAAGTATCACTATGTAGTTTAGCCTGGGCTTGAATTCACTATGTAGTCCAGGCTGGCCTCAAACTCAGAGATCATCCTGCCTCAGCCTTCCAAATGATGGGATTATAGGCGTGCACCACCATGCCCAGCCTCTTAGTTTTTAAATTTTATTTTCATTGGTACATGTTTGTGTTTTTTATTGGTACAATTACATTCATCATGGAGTTGGTCCATGTACATACATTTTTCATTACTTTTTTAAAAATCCTATCCCTCCCCACACTTCTTGGTCTCATTTATATACTCTCTCTCCCTCTCTCTCTGTATGTATGTATGTATATACATATATAAATTTTCCCCCCTTAAACATGTGTTTGTAATACATGATAATCACATTCCTCCTAGGGACTTGATATACGGACACAGCACTTCACACACACACCCATATTAATCTCCTTTCCATATGCCGTAGATCCATCTCACTATTTCCTACTGTCTACTATTTATTTTGCACTTTATATATTAGGGTTCTCATATAAGACAAACCATGCAATATTTAAGCTTGTGTGTCTGATTTCTTTCACTTAACATTATGTTCTCAGGGTACATCCATTTTCCTACAAGTGACTCAGGTTTATCCTTCTTAATGGCAGAGTGGAAAGATGGGCTCTTTAACAAATGGTGCTGGGAAAACTGGCTCTCCATATGCCATAAATTGAATCTAGACCCATATCTCTGACTATATACTAAACTAAAATGAAAATCGATCAAAGATCTAAATATTGAAACTGAAACACTTAACCTGCTGGAAGATAATATAGGTAAAACTCTTGAAAAGATAGGTGTAGGCAGACTTTCTGAACACAACACCAGTTGCCTAAGAAATAATACCAAGAATCAACAAATGAGATCACATCAAGTTAAAAGGCTTCTGCACAGCAAAGAAAACCAACAGTGAAGAGACAACCCACAGAGTGGAAGAAAAAAATTTGCCAGCTACTGAAAGGACTAATATCTAGAATATAAAAAGAAATCAAAAAATTTAGACCCACTAAATCTAGAGACCCAATTAAAAAATGGGCATCTGAAATTAAGATACTTCAAAGATAAAGAAGTACAAATAGCCAATAAACACATAAAGAAGTTCAACACTGGCTGAGGATTTAGCTCAGTGGTTTCGCAGCCTGCCTCGCAGGCGCAAGCAAGGACCCAAGTTCGATCCCCGGTACCAAAAAAAAAGAAGTTCAACACTGTTGACCATTCAAGAAATGCAAATTAAAACAGTGAGAGTCCATCCCACCCCAGAAAGAATGGCTATATTCAAGAAATTAAATAATAAATGCTGGAGAGGCTAGAGGTGGAGGTGGCAGCATTCTTCATTGCTGATACTAGTGTAAACTGATACAATTACCATGCAAAATCAATATGGAGATTCCTCAAAACACTAAAACTAGAAATCCCATTTGACCCAGCCATTCCCCTACAAGGTATCTTCCCAAAAGTGTTAAAGACATCATATTACAGCGATGCATGCATATCCATGTTCATAATAGCTGAAACTGAGAAACAGCCATTCATCAACAAATGAATGGATAAAGAAAATGTGGTATTCATACACAGTGGAGTACTATGGCCACATAAAGAATTTTCTTACATAATTTTAATACGCTGTCTGAGGCCATCATCAAGCAAGTGCCTCTCATCCCAGGAAGCTTGTTTGTACAAATCCAAAACTGGTCTGTAAGATTAGAGTAGATATTACTAGGATGGGGGTAAATTTTTAAATGTAAAAATAATTTCTGATGGAATTCTAAGAGCCATAAATATGAATTATGGCCTCCAACAAAAGCAAAAAGAACCCACTTTAGAAAAATATTTTGAAGGGCCAGGGATTTAGCTCAATGGTTCCGCCGCCTCCGCAAGTGCACGGACAGGAGTTCGATCCCTGATACCAAAAAAAGAAAAAAAGAAAAATATTTTGAACTTTTGAACAATGTACTCTGAGTTAAAAGAAAACAACTATCAACCTGGGTGTGGTGGCGCTTGCCTATAATCCCAGCTAATGGGAGGCTGCGGCAGGGGCATCTCAAATTGTAGGCCAGCCTGACAACTTAGTGAGAACTTCTTTCAAAACTAAATGCCTGGCAGTGCATATCAATGGCAGCAGAGTGCTTGGCTACTATGAGTAAGGCCCTGGGTTCAGTCTCCAGTACTGAGTACGCGTGCGCGTGTGCACGCACGCATGCACGCGCACACACACAGTTACCTTATGAGGGAACTAGCTGAAGATAAAGTGTGTCACAAAAGCTACCAATTAAGTTATTGTGTCACATTTTTTAAAAGCATGGGCTGGAGATTTAGCTCAGTGGCACCCAGCCTGCCTCGAAAATGCAAGGTTCTGAGTTCGATTCCTGATATCAAAAAAAAAAAAAAGCAAAAACAATGACATAACTATCAAAGCCATAATACTGAACTTGATGTGTGGCCAAGTACAGTACATTAACCGAGTTACAGTCTCACAAACCAGCAATAAAATGGCAACAAACAAAAAGCCTCTCTTAAAAGTAAAACAATCTTTCCTAAGTACTATAAAAAAGGTTATTTTTCTGGGGATGCAGCCCTGCGGTAGAGTTTGCCTAGCATTCTTCAGGCCTTGGGTTCAATCCTCAGCACCACCAACAAGGGAAAAAGAAAGTTATTTCACAGTGAAAAATACCTGTGTTAATCTTAAAACATTATTCAACCACTCTACAATGCACATTAAGTTAACACACAAAATTTTTAGACATACACTGATTTCCAAACTGTGCAACATAAAGGCAGAATTTTAAAGGGATAATCAAATTTGGGTAAGAAAATATATTAAATTTTGTCTACATACTAATTCAAACCAAGGATTTATAAAGCATTATATAGAACATAACTCATTTCTTCCAACCTGTCCTTTTGAAACTGTCATCACTCCTAATTACCCTTAGAAGAAATGATCACTTTTTTCTGGGATGGAATGGTAGCTGGTGGTGGCAGTGGCACTGAAAACAGAAGTGTTCCTGGTCTGTTTTCATCTGTTATGGCTGTGTCCAGATGTCCCCCCAAAGCCTCATGAGGTTGTAGGTGGGGCTTTTTCAGAGGTGGCTGGATCTAGACTGTGTGATTCTGGAATTGATTCATGGTTCAATGTTAGGATCAAGGGCACTGGGATGAAGGGTGTGAGCGCCACCCACCCTAAGTGGCCTGGATAAAATATAAGGGATAGAAAGAGCTGTGGTAGTCCCTTGTTGTTTTCCTATCTTCTGCCTGACATGAACTGCTTCTCTGCAGTGCCTGTCTGTCATGTGCCACCCTACCTTGGAGCCAGCCAATTATGAACTGGAACCTCTACAAGCTGTGAGCTTTAAATAAACCTTTCCTCCTTTAACTTTGGGTGCTGGGTATTTTGTCTCAGGAACAAGAAAAATAAGACATTATCTTATCATAGTGTTCCTTTATTATCACCTAGCTTCTCTGTTTCTTGTGGGCCATAATAAACAAAATGGGATACAATCAGCCAAAGGAACACTGTCATGGTAAAAAATGAAACAAGGGAAGACTTTTACTGATAGCATTCCTATACATCAAGTGACCAAATTCCTCTTAGCCTTGACAGTCTCTAAAAATTTCAGCTTTTGAGTTGTGAGGCCCTTTACAGAGGTACTTGTTGATCCTACAGTCCCGTTTGAGGAATGTCCCAAATAAATGAAAGAACCCAATCATGTACAGACATGCTTATATTACCTATATAAAAGAATAAAGCTGAAAAAAAAGAATAAAGCTGAACATATTTTAAAAACCCTATAATTAAAAATATAACATATCCTCGAGTCACCAGTTGGAAAACCATAGCCCATCGCTTGCTTTTGTAAATGGTTTTTTTTTTTTTGGTACCGGGGATTGAACTCAGGTCCTTCCTCTTGTGAAGCAGGCACCAGAACCACTGAGCTAATCCCTGGCCCTGTAAATGGTGTTTGATGGGACCCAGGCCCACCTGCAAGCTGGGTACTCAGCCAGGCTAAAGACTGTACTGCCTGACCATTTACGGAAAATGTCTGCCAAGCCCTGCTCTTGCATATGAATATAACTGGACACCGAGAGTAACATCACATGGCTGTGTGGGTATGAAGACACACCACACTAATGTTGGAGCTCACAATGAACAACAAACATGTACGACCACAATGTGCCTAACTGTGCTAAGTCCGCATTTATACAGTCTTGTTTAATTCTTAACATCACTATAATATAGAAATAATTTTCAATTTACAGACAAGCAAAGGGAAGCGCCAAGAGACTGAGTAACTGCCTAAGAGAATCAGTTGACACAGCCAGGGTTTAAATTCATGATGAGTGAAAAACCATATGGAAAAACTAACAGCATAGGATTCTACTCATCACCAACTGGCAACTAAAGGAATAATGTATGAGTGGTTCAGTTTGCCATCTCTTTTTCATTGCCAAAATGCCTGTATTCAATAAAATATTTAGAGCCAAATAACATCAACTTTATACCACTTACTAATGACCACCTTATGCCTGTCCCTACAATAAAATTTTATTCAGTGTCTGCTATATTCATGGGAGACACTCATTTTAAATTCTAGGTCTGTAGCAGCT